TGTTTAGGATATTTTGTTGTACTCCATCATTTACTATCCCTCTACACTTATGTATAATGAAATAACCATTAAACCTTTTACATTCCCTACAGTAATCATTTTACGTAGGTCGTAACACAAGATCGCGCTTCTTACTACGCTGAGAAATCGATTCAACTCACGATAGTTTCGTTAATATTAACAGTAAAGAACTGAAATTACAACATAAAACTAATATGGCATAAAACCACATAACAGAATAATTGCGAGCAAGTACCTTTATTCCTTCTATTTTTTCTGACATCTGCGGCATAAAACACCGCGCGGCGTAAATACCGGAGTTACCCTATTCTTTTTTTTGTGCACATATATGTATTTTAACGCGCATGTTTTTCTCCGCGCTGGGAAAGTGCTAACGCTTACAGTTTGTCTTTTATATCCACTTAAATTTGAATTATATTATACTTCCATTAAGAATTTCCTTAATAAATGATTCGTGAAATTAAGGTTGAGATTTGTGGCTTCTTAGAAATTGGAAGCGAGTATTTATACTCATTTACTCTATGTGAACAATTAGGTACTGTGGCATTTAAGAAAGACATACCATTTGTTGTAATTGCAACAATTATTTTCAATTTATAAACTCTTCTTTACGAGAGAAAAGAAGGTTTTAAGATTGCAAGACAGCAAGAAATTTCTCACAAAAATATATAAAGTTTTTACGAGAGATATCACGTAAAGTCGTAAAATCACAAGTTTCTAAAATGCTTAAAGTTCTCGGATTTATTCTAACGTAAATTCCAATCGTGAAGTATCGTAACTATTTATCAAGTTTTATTTGATTCGTCGAGTTATATGAAAAGTAGATATAATATTTCACAATTCGCAATTCGTATTTGTAGCAGTGCGTACATATTTGTAAATAATAATGAAACCGGGTAACGTGAAATCGAGTAAAGCAATATATTGTTAGACTCGGCAAACTGTCGAAATGTTTTCTGCTGTAAGCTGGCCGTGGAGCGGGATCAGGCAAGCGTGCGTCAAACAACGCACATAGACAAATAGTATATACGCACACGAGGAAAAATGGAAAATCTCAAAACTCGGCAATATATACTATTGTCGATATACAATCCGGTAGATATGTATTCATGCATTCCATTACGCGCATGATTACCGGGGCTTTTTTCGAACAATTTCTTAAAATAAATGAGAGAAACGCGATCTCGTAGCTGCAGGCTACAAAGTCTAGAATGTTGATGCATTAGCATTTCACAAGTAACCTTAGTACATAAAGTATATTAAAGTATGTAAGTTTTTATGCGTAAATTAATAGAGAGCGCTCTTCTCTACAGGTTTACGTTCCATTTAATAAAATTTAACTCTTCTATTAAATCTGGTTAAGTTAGAAAAATAATTAACTTATCTAACAAGAAGTTGTTGCTTGATGGTGGGAAGTGCACACTTTACTTATACGGCTCGTCAGAGGGATAATTTTGTACAATCTTAATTACCGTCGTATTGCACTTTACCTCGCACGGTATAATGAATCCGGCTGTGACAAGAAAAGAGGATATCTTTTCCCCGACGACACAATCGAAATTTTTTCGCATCGGCATCTTAAGGCCATTGCACGTAACAAAGTTTTAGTTTTAATCGTAAGGCCGTAAGAAAATAGGCCAATCACACTTGATTATTCTTCAAGCGTGAGGAGAATAATCGACTGTGATTGGTTTATTTTCTTACAACCTTACGATTATGACTAAAACTTTGTTACGTGCAATGGCCTTTACCGTGCGCGTGAAGAAGCTTCGAGCTTCCATCGGGAATGCATCAAAAGGCCAAATACGTGGAGCAACAAGCTGTTTGTGCCACATTTGCATTAATTAAGCACTAGCGCGTGTCGAGTGGCAACCAGTTTGAGAAGACTGAAGTACTTTAATGACGCTTGTCGAGAGAATCCGATCGAATTCGCTTGAGGCGAAATGTAAATTGGATCGGAACCGTTTCTCCCCCGTGGCATCAGTCTTGCTTTTCGGAATAATACCGATAAATCAAACTGGAGCTCCGAGTTTTTCCTGTTTGATTGCATCCCAGTCGGAAATTTGCGGAACTTTTTTTAGCTTGCGACACGAGAGTTCTTGCTTCAGCGTTTGTAAAGCTTCGGCAATTCTGCGAGTCACGAAGGATATCGAGGGCACTCGTCGCAAAGGGTATATACACGAGCTCGGCTGGCAGTTTCGATTCTTCCGATACCTGGCCGATACATCGTGTTCGAGCAATTTCTGCAGAAACGAGCGGTTATTTGCTCGGGTAACTTCGACATTGAAATGTGAAGGTCTCTGCCTTTTTCCCTTGCTCATTTTTCTCCAGTGTGATGTTATTGTGCACGTGCGCGATCGCCGGTAATCCCTTGATACCGGAATCATTTCTCTTCAGGTACCGGAAATTACATTGGGTCCGTAATATCTAACGTCAACTATTTAGAATTGTGATAGAAAAAGGCAAGAAAATAACATATAAGCGATAATATTTTAAAATAAGTTTCCAGAAAATCAGCAGATTTATATTTATTCACCCATAGTTAAAAGTGTCAAAATTTAAAGGTGACGATTTTATACTTTTTATTATAATTTTCGACACTGCGTATTTTTTATTTCGCTGTTAAAATTAATTCAATAATAAAACTATAAACATAATTTCAAATCCAATAAAATATCATAATATCTAATTTAATATCGTATTAGGATTTTGTGCAATACCTACAATTATATTATCAGCGACTAAATCAAACTGAACTATAACAACGTAATCGTATCTCATTGTTTCGGCAAAATAGTTAGAATAGTTTCGATATAAGCACGAATATTGAACAAATGTGTGGGTGGAAGCATGAAATCCAATTAGGAACAATTAGCTTTACGATATGTACTTCCGCGGCATTTTAGCCGCGCGCGTTACGTTGATTCGTTCGATCGGCCGGCCGATCGTAGGATGCATTCAGAGAAGTATGATGGAATGTGCATCGATGCGATGAAAAGTGTGGACGGAAACAGCGCGCCGTGCCGCGGAAGCTCTCATTGTTCCGCGGCGCTGAAGCGAAGCGCCCGCGCCGAGGGATTTCGTGGCATAAAGCTCTCATTATTCACAAAACAGGGATGATAATAATCTCCTCTCGCTCGTGTGTTGGCATTGTCTCGCTAAATAATCCGCGAAATGCAGTTTACAATATCGTTTTTTCGATTCTAAACGTGCTAAAACCAGTTTTATACGTATTGTAAAGAATATAAGAAACACAAAGAAGAGCACGGCATACTTTTTTTTACCTTCCAAGATCAAAGCTGAAGAAATCTTTATTATGATTATTTTTAGTACAATAAATTTTTTGTAAGCCCTTATACATGCAAATGCATGTTACAGCGCGTGGGTATTGTACGAATTTTAATATATTACAATATATTACAGTAGGTATATATGTATACACATATTGTGGCGATCGTGGCGCAGAGAGTTGTGCGCTGCTTTAGTAAGTCAAAGATCCGAGTTCAAATCTAATTAAAATCGTCAGTTTTTATTTGATCGCCACCTCTCGGAAGGAAAGGGGCATCCTACCGAGAGTATTTTGCCCAGTGAGCTATTATGCCACTTTACTTTAAC